TATGTGCATTCTAAGGATACATAGAAAAAATATATCTTTAAATTTACTAATTTTTTTATAAATTCTCAAACTCTAAAACTTTTTTTGATCATTTTAATTAATAATTGTATTATCAAAGTAATATCAATTTATTTTCATCTTGACATCTTTGATTTAGAGGATTTTCATTTGGATATAGTCTAGTGATGCCAGACAATCTACGATTTTGTGACTGTGCCTTATCTTTCGATCTTTCGCAAAAGAGAGAGAAGACAGAGGCACAAAACAGAGTGCATTCTACTTTCAAACTTCTATTTCTCAAACGCTCTAAGTATATTTAATCCTCTTTCATCGTTAAAAATATTTCTGAAAGTGGCTTAAAAGATTTTTCATTGGCTATAAGCCACTCTTAGAAATATTTTTATTGATAAAAGAGGATTCAGAATATGGATTGTGTCACTATCTGAATATAAATTCATGCTATTGTATACATTAACTTATATTCTCCATATTCTTTTACATATGCAATTTTGATGAATTGTTTGGCATCATTGGTATAGTCCTCATTTTGGAGACTCGTCTTGAAAAAAAAATCATTTCATTAGAAATGCTTAAAATGGTCTCGATACTACGTTTTTTTTAATTCTATTTTGAATAATTTTTATTTACAAGAAACTTTGTTGCATCTATCTGGTGCATACTGCGTTTTATTCCATTAAATAATGTACAGTATAATCAAAGAACATACTATCTTATCGAAACAAACAATCGTGCTTCAAACAATCAAATCATATGATTTAATGTAATGAAACAACAATATTTTTGTTCAAAGAAATAAATATTTCTATATATAAAATTATGTTATTTAAATTAAACATATGTAAATGAAACAAGTAGGAATAGTAAACGTAAAGAAATCTTTTTACGTAGTTAAAATCTAATGTATAGTCGTAATGTAAAGTCATAGAAAGATAACTTCTTATCGTTTTTTATACATTCTAAGACAATCAAAATCGATGAGAAACCTTATAAATTTTGCTTCATAAACTACATATTGAAATTAATATCAGGACTAGATATTGAAATTAATTTATTGATAAAATTACACATATCCTCCATTATTGTACATTTTTGTAAAATCATAATTTTAAAAATTGTGATTATATGGATATCGGGCTTCTCACACATGCTGATATAACATAATAGAATTATACGTATAATTTCTATGTAACATTAAACAATATATGTTTTTAATTTAATTAGACTAATATCTTTAACGTATCTTTCAATAAGAAAGGTTAAAAAAAAGAAATTATGTATATAAATGAGAGAAATAACGAATAAATTAATTATAAAATTCTGAATTTACTTATCATTTTTTGACTAACGTATTGTTGTCTCTAAAAGAAGAAGGCCATTTATTTCTATTCATTCGAACTTTCTAATAAAACTTTTAAAAAATATATCATTCAGAAAAACGTGATCAAATTCGATTAATAAAATATAAGTAAATATAAAAAAAGCGTGGCATAGTAGAGTATGCTATAGAGGTCCCGGATTCGATTCCCGGCAGAGCCAAAAATATTTACGAGGTGTCCGGAAATTCGCGAATCAAAATATCATAGTAAGAAAATCCTCGAAAAAATAAGTTATTAATGTATTTGCCATTTTTCGTTCCGAACAGTAATTTTTGAGATATAAGATACTTAAAACTAGCCAATTATAGATTGACTTTCCAAGTTTTAAAATAAAGTAATTTTTTAGTAATTTTTTTAGTAATTTTTTAAATATATTTTTTTATTTTTATTTTTAAAAGTATTTTTTTTTTATAAGAAAGAAATAATTAATAAAACATTCAGTTTAGTTAAAGATTAAAGAGAAATAGAAAATAAATGTATAAGATTACAAGATTATAAAATAATAGCACGTATTTATGTGATATTTTGATTGCTCTTATTCAAATCTTATTGAGATTTCTTATTAATACTATCGTACGTAGATGTATAGTAATGAACTCGGGTGAATTATAAATTTACTTTACTTTAATTATAAAGTTTTTTTAATTATAAAGTTAATAAAGTACTTTAATTATAAAGTTAATTATAAAGTATTTCTTATTCGTTATGTTTGTTTATAGCATCAATTATTTTGAAATAAATATTATACGCACAGTGACGTTACGCACACAATCATTTGTCTAATATCAGTGAGCACATGAAATGCGCGCTCATTAACATTATTGCCGCGGACAAGTTTCCGTTTAACTGCAATCTATAATTGACTAGTTTTAAGTATTTATATCTCAAAAATTACTGTTTGGAACGAAAAATGGCAAATATATTAATAACTTATTTTTTTCGAGAATTTTCTTGCTATGATATTTTAATTCGCGAATTTCCAGACACCCTGTATATATATATATATATATATATATAAAAGTATATATGTATGTATGTATGTGTATATGTATGTATATACATTTATAGGTTCAAAAATTGTGCGAACTTCATCTGCAATGGTTAAAACATAATAGAGAACCATGGTCTGATGTTGTTAAACATTGGAAGGCAAGTCGACTTGCTAGAATAAAAGATACGGCTACATGGAATGAAAATGTCCAACTATTTTTTTCAAAATGGCCCATTTTGAAGCGTTTATAGAGTTACACATTAGTGAAAATTTTAATAATAATAGTGCTGTATTAAAAAGTTAGTAGAAGACACATATGTGTGTACCATTTTCAATAATTTTTACACATTAAATCTGATTATGTTGCACAATTCAGAAATATGTTCTCTATATACAATGAATGAGCCAGAGTTTTCACAAAAAATTTATACTGTTATGCAGGCTGAAATTAAAGATAGAATATATCAAGAGCAACTTGACCAAATAAATAGAAGATATATCAGAAGGTAATAAGAAAAAGTTATATTTTCTATTATTATCTACTTAAAATTTATTACTTTATTGTGCTATTATATATTTCGTAATCTCCATTTTTAGAGAAAAGAAATATTAGACTTTTAAAATTATTGCCAGCATAATGTATCCCAACAATAAAAATTCATAAAGATACAAGAAACATCACACAATAACTGAATCATTAAATTCTTTCATTTCATTTTATCAGTAAGTGTAAGTAGTATTATTATATTTCTTTATGTTCTATATAAAACAATTTTATGTTAAAAATATAATTACTATAGTTGAACTGAAAATAATGTTCTTTTTAT